GAATAAGCTGTCGGGGACAATCAGCGGCAGCTTCCTAGAGCGTGGGAGGGTCTGGGCTGGTCACCTGCTTCATCATTAAATACCACCAGCGCTCGCAAGACGCTGTGTCAAAGCCAATGTGATCAGCTATAGGGTCACTGACCACTCACTTCTGGTCACAGAAGTGAGTACTTAACGAAGTGCGGATGAACAACCTCGATTGCCACCGGCTTCTATGAAGGCGTATGAGCCACTTGGCTGTCAACAGCCTTCGTGTTTCGCGGCGAGCTCGGTAGTCCTTGCTGCGTCACCGGGGCTGTCTGTGCGCCTTGAGTAGTTTGCCTTTACTCGAAAGCCGTTCGCCTAAAGAGCCGGCTCCCAACGGTCGCGGTATACGTCAATCGCCCCGCTGTCTTGCGGGTTAGGTCTTTATGACTCAAGACTCCGGGTGGGGTCCCCTATGTCAACCCTCTTCCTCGGCTTGGGCAACCGGGAAGTACTATGCTCACGCGACCAATGGATCCATGTCTCAGCAATCCTCCGCTCGCTGTCTCTACTCTCACTCTTCCGAACTACTCACATCGTCTGAGGTACTGGCGGATGAACCTGCCAAACCACCTTTTACCGCGCCACCGTTTAGTCACTTTATTCCACGTTTGTTCAACCCCCACTCTTTTTCTTCCCCCTTTGTTTTCGAGTTCACAACATCGTGCCGCCTTGGGCGAACGTTCTCGCTATGCGGATCAAGAGAGCCTAGATCCGAAGATGCGCCAAGTCGTGTTGAAAATCCATTTCCAGCTCCCTGTTTCCTATTCAGGCTGACAACCTTCATCGTCCGGATGCTGATGCCGATTGGATCACAGGCAGCCCTTGTTCACACTCTAGAAACTACGGTCATTGATGTCTGCTGTCTCAGCGAGACCTGTTTACAGCACTCTAGCACGACGTTGCGACTAGTTTCACCGTGTGCGAATTACACTGGCGTTTTCATTTTGTGCCTATCTGGAAACTCAGCTGCCGAAGCCGCTGGTTATGTTGGCGTGGGGATTGTTTTGAGCACAAGTGCTTATTCCGTGCTACTAGACTGGACCCCAGTTAACCGTTGACTATGTGCAATCCGACTTTTTTTTACTTTAGTGCGACTGTCCAGGCCCAAAGCTAGCAAACGCTGTCTATTCATTGTCGCAGCGTACGTCCCCACAGATTGCAGCCCGGAGTCAGTGGAAGATAAGTTCTATGCTCAACCGGCTGACCTCCGTAAAAAGCGCCGTACCGACATTGTGGAGCTTGCCGGCGACTTGAACGCGCAGGTCGGTAGACTTAAAGTTGTCGAAGGTGAACTCGGTGGTCAACACGGCACTTGCAGAACTGACAACAGTGATCGACTACTTCAGCTTTGCACCGATCGCAGCCTCTTTCTGTCCAGCGCTAGCTTTCGGGAATCCGGGCGACAAGGCGCCACCTGGAGACCCCCATCACCTGGCCAACCGTGGATACAAATTAACCACATCGCCATTAGCTATTGCTGGCGGGACTACATACAGGATTGCAGATCGAGCTGGAGTACCTATCTCACTTCGGATCACGCACTGGTGTGTGCCAAGGTTGCGCTACGTTTTGGTGGCTCCCAGCAGCATCGCCAGAAACGGCTTGATGTAGCTAAGCTTTCTGCCCCAAACCTTCTCCGTGCATTTCAGGATGCCTTGGTCTCACGACTGAAGACTGCCCCATGCACGGACATCGAAACACACTAGACACACATCCGCGGCACCATGTACAATTGCAACCCTGGTTTGTGGCTTCACCAGTAGTCCTGTCTACCACTGGATCTCTACACGATCGCTCCAACTTCTCAAAGCTGTCGACTAATTCCTACTGGCGTTAAATACCATTCACTACACAAGACTACTAACGCTGGGCTCAAACAGCTCCGGGAAGATCGCGAGGCCTGGTGGACGCAGCGGGTCATTGAGATGGAGTAAGGGACCACCTCGGGGAATTTCCGTAAGCTTTTCCTCCTGATTCGGTCTACTGGTGGCAAAAGGCCGACTGTAAGCGTTTATACAAAACCAACTGCCAACCAATCCACTGTCAGAAACGCGGACTCGAGCTTTGGGCCGTGTACTTTGAGCAGCAGTTTAATTGACCAGCAGCACCAATGAGTTCCCTGATTTGTAGACGCTTCACCACCATCCGATACTGAGGTTGCCCACGAGCTTTGTCTCTTAAGCGCTACAAAGCTCCTGGCCTAAAAGAGCTCCCTCCGGCTCTTTTCAATGATGGAGGCCCATCACTTTGTTCAAGAATTAACTTCTCTCCTCCAAGAGATCTGGGTCACTGAAGTTATCGCATCTGATTGGAGCCTAGCGGTACCCGAACTGACTGCGCCAACCACAGAAGGATTAGCCTCATCTGTGTTGCTTCCAAGATGCTCGCAGCTCTGCTTCTAATGAGGCTCAGCCTGGTACGCGAACAGAGAATACCTGAAGGGCAAGCTGGATTCCGCTCATGTCACAGTTGCATCGAGCACATCTTTACACTCCGCCAAATACTCGAGCGTCATTTGGCCAGCCAATGATCGTTGTCTTCTTAGACATACGAGCCGCGTTTGACTCAGTCGACGGAGCTGCTCTCTGGAGTTGTCTACTGAAAAGGGTGCCCGAGAAGTACGTCACCTTACTTCAAGTTATCTAGTCTCAAACGTCGAACCGAGTACGGGTGTACGGCAGACTTTCGCCTCCCTTTGGTATCAGCAGTGGCGTAAGACAGGGTTGCCCAGCATCTCCTTTATTGTTCAATTTCGCTATAGACAAAATCTTGGAGAGTGCTATAGAGAACTGCGAACCCAGGGGCGTCGAGCTGCTTCCGGGGGACCGACTTCGGGATTTGGAGTATGCCGACGACATCGCCGTAATCTGCGCTTCATCACAGGTCGCCCAAAATGTTCTGTGTAGGTTGGAGATGTCTGTCTCCCAGTTTGGAATGACCTTCGCACCACCGAAATGCAAGGTTTTCCTGCAGCACTGGCTAGACGCTGCTCCTGACCTTACCCTTCTAGATCATTCATTGGAAGTGGTGGATAAGTTCGTTTACCTCGGAAGCTGCCTCAACGCTAATGGTTTAACGCATGAGCTTTCTTTGCGCGTCTCCAAGGCTCGGGTTGCTTTTGCGAATCTCCGCCATCTCTGCTGCGAAGGTGCTCTGAGTCTAGCTCTGAAGGGCTGAGTTTACAATGCCACAGTGAGAACGGTTCGCCTCTATTGCTGCGAGATGACAGGCATTCCACTATCCATGTCAGATTAGGTGCCATTAATTTGCAAACCCAACTGTACTTATATCATTTCACACATAAACATACACGAGGTTGTTCACTGCGATACTTTCGACGCCGACTCCGTAAGTATTTCAAGCCACTGACTCGCATCGCCAGAGGCACTGTATGTATGTTCCATCGCTGAAATCCGAACTGCATAACGACAAATGCATTAGAACGCTACTTTCTTATACACTTGTTTCGCATACTTGTCACATCAGCTGCATGGATATTGGAAGGTAATGGCATCAGCAGTAAGCCAGCACGCAGTGTCGACGCTTTGCTGCCTCGCAACCCCCACCCTTCGCGCGTGAGCTAAGGCTGATGCAAAGGTCGCCTGGTCCTTACGCAGGCACGAACCTGCGCCCTCGGATTACAAGGCAGGCTTGTGATCCTTAAGGCTACGAGCCGGTATTGTATCGATATTACAATATACGGACATTGAAAGGTGTAACCTGGAATGGGACTCTGGGTTTGAAAATTAAACTTGCTTCCTTGTCATGTTGGCTGGCGAAATCAGCAATGGTTTCTTCCTGGTTAGCATGGGCAAGCAGACTGGCAACGGTATGAGTCGTTGATCTTTCTACATCTTGCACTCCGAGGAAACGTGGCGCGGTTTCCATTTAGCTCCCGATTTTCAGACCGTTTTCTCTTGATAGCCGAGCTTCATCTGATCAACAGATAGTTCTGGATAATCCGTATTACGTCACATATAGGTAGTGTTTGCTCCCAACTGTTTCCCTACTAAATTTGTACTCGCATAACCCAAGCTTTTTTAAGGCTTTATGTATCAGTTTGAGGCGGTGCCTGCTGCGTCAACTTCATTTTCTTGACCTTAATCTGTGGAGTCTAACCCACACCATCCGATTTTCCAGTTAGCTAGTGATATAAAGAAATAAGTATTTGCTTTGTACTCTGGTGGTCACTAGTCCTAATCCGCGTAAGTGCCGACGACTCCACGATACACTCAGTCTACGCGCGACTGCTGGTGGTCGCGTGTCAGCAGAGCGTCGGCATGGGGTGTCGGCGTATTGCTACTGCCTTACGTTTCAAGGAATAAGGCACATTATCATCAGTAACGTCGTTAGTTCCGGTCAGTGTTATGTATATAAAATTCGCATTTTATGATTTTTGTAGCAATGCCGATTATAGCAGAAGACAGTATCTGTTGCGTCTCTTGGTTCCGACCACCGGCCCATAGCCTTAAGGATCACAAGCCTTCCTTGTTATTCGACGGCGTGTGTTCGAGGCTGCGTAGGGACCGGGCGGCTCCCGCAGGATCTTTATTCCGCGTGTGAATGGCGGTGATTGCGCGGGAGCTAGATGTCGGCACCGCGTACCGGTGTACTGCTGACTCCTTTTCATCTGGTCCAGACTGATAGTTCCTATTCAATACTTTTTCTTTGTTACTCTTTTCTATCTAGCCCTCACTGCTTTTTGTTGGTTCGCTCCTTGCCACATATCCGTTTCATATATATATGTCTTGTCTTTTATTGACATTAACTTAGGGAGTTCGACTTCAATTTCGCTGTTCACTTTTCCGAATCGCGTACTCGTCTTACTTAGTACACTAACCGACGTCTATGAATCATTTGACACTGTTTGATTTGTAGTTAGTGTTGCTTTACCGCAAACTGCATTTTCATTTTTCCTTCAAGGCTTATCGTTAATTAATTTCTCACCTCTTCCCGTTTGTTTAACTTTTTAGCAGTCTCATGCGGCGCTACTTCTCCGCCTAGATTATCTTCTGGCAGAACTGCCTTCTATGGATTCCGCTGACGAGTTGAGAATTCAAGCGGAAAATCTTCGTTCACTACTTATTCGTCTTTCCCACAACCCAGCAGAGCAAATGTCTTACTGAACCTTCGTTTCCGACGCTCACACGTTACTTTGAGGTTGCTCACAGTGATGTGTGTTGCGTCAATCATTTTGGGATCCCTGACCGATCGCATTTCATTTCCATACCGGTATTTTCCTCTTGTCAGCTTTCCAATAAACTTTTTATTTTACGAGTGATCGCTTCTCTGACTCATTTCGTACAGTCCAGCAGTGGCGTTATTCTTAACTGCAACAACTTTTTTTAGAAATAGATAATATCCATGAATTCAACGCCTTTGACTTTGCGAGACCGCATTTTGCGCGTCTATCGTCGCTTCAAAAGTGTGCCTATACCAAAGACGTCTAGGCTGTTTCCTGTTAGGAATTCCTCTTTACTTAGCCGTTATTTGTTGGAAACTGTTTGGGATCGATCTGATGTCGATCGATGCGAAAAGCTGCGATTCACTCAGCATCATTTCCTGACCACGTGTAATGACGCTCAAGATGTTTCCGTACAAGTTGACAACACCACGGATCTTAGTTTTATTTCGCTGGGAGTTGGATTTCCGTTCCCTGATGAGAATGGACCTCGGCTAATTTGGGACATACGTTCTCATTCTTCTTGTTTGCGCGCCATGTGCGTTGAATATTCCCATCCCTTGGCCGCTATGAAATTAGCCCCTTCTTCCAAAGCATGCTTCCCCGAATCTGGAACATTCGTTTACTTGTCAATGTCTGGCACGCATTTGAAAACCATCAAACTTCCTGCGAACAAACCGGCCAATGTACATGGGAACCTGTACTCCAGTTCACGCGTACCTATTTTTGGTGCCACGTGGTCCTCCGATGAGGAGCGAATCATCTACACTGCTGAAGCTGCTCGTGTAAACGAATCAGAGGTGACTGACCACGTTTTACTTTGGATATTCAGATGTTTCCTAGCTCCTACGCACTGTCGTTTGGTACCCTTAGACATCAACATTACTGTTGGTCATTACCTTTTAATTTTATTAGTCTTCCCAATTGACTCGTTGTTCATAATTGCCAGGTTGCGTCATTTGATCTTAATCTAATCATCACAAAGTGCCATTTCCTAACCGGTTTGTTTTTATTTTTCATACGGTTTAAGAGTCATTCGGTTTCCTCAAGCACCATTAACCCTTGATCCCCGAGTCTTATCTTACCAAATACTCTGTCTGATTGACATTCACTTGACTTTTAACCGAAGTTTAGTGACGGATTCGGTTTTAACAAAGATCACTCACTCCAATCTGGTTGCTTCATGCTTGAGACCTACTTTCGATTGTTTTGCACTATTGAGAGACATGCTCCACTGAGCGACTCAAGTACTTGCAGCTACCGCTATTCTACGCAATCATTTTAACCTACTCCAAGATAGGTCGTATGTCATACACAGTATTCAGATCATCTTCACACATCAGTTATCTGTTGGTTGTCTTCGGTTTGGTTAATTCCACTTCGCATCAGGTTGATATAGACGCATATTTATGTTGCATCAAAAGATCTTTCTGGTCTCACGTACACTGGCTTTTATTAACGTAGAGTTAATATTCGGACAAATGCTCTCAGACGTGCTGTTATCAACCGGTCCAAGCGCACGTCGTTTCTCACTACAATACACTGTTAATGTGCCATACATTCCGTACACTCTTTACCAATCATCTGCTCTTGCGGCATGCATTTTTTTATATCCTTGCATTGCTTCGGCTCATCCGTTGTATCCCACTTTGGGTATTTTTCCATTCCTCTGTTTTTTACTTGAGTTTGCTCTTTTCATTGGTCACCTTCCCGCAGTCTTCGTGCTTGGCATTTATTCGCAGCCCTAGTCTGGACATGATATACGAGGCGACACTTCCATGCTTATATAACGTTGTCCACACATTTACAGCGGACCAAGTTGAACGAGCTCTGTTCACATTGCAAATTGTACGTGACAACTTTATTCGTTAAGCACTAGTTGACATCTAGTTTCCGCTGTGTGTTTGATGTTTCACCAACACTCCAGCATATCTCAGGAAGTGAAGCCAGTTATCATTCACTACAGCTTGAGTCTAACGTAACGTCGACTGTCACTGCGATGGAGCTGTCTTACACTTATCGTACCGTGCATCTTGGTGATGGAAAGTCTTCTGCTCGGCCCTCATCTGCCGAAGTACGTCTCATGTAACTACCTGCATGTTAACTTGATGAATGGAATAATCAGTGACACCATGATCGTCGTGCTACTCTGCGATTGGTCAACAGTTATTACCGATGTTAACACAGCTTTCGACTTTCGTTGTTTGAATCCACTGTCATGGAGCCTCGGTTGTTGTTCCCCCTTCTCTTGCACAGTCTGCTGGTTGTGGGGCCAGGCCTTGTGCATTTGGACACCATGAAAATTGGGGTGAAAGTTTGTCCGATGTTCGGCAATCCGTCCTCTGTATGCTCAACATTCGCACCGAAGATGTACGCTGTTTGGTCTCTCCGGCTGAACTACCTAATGTCGTCCCAACGCAGCCCACGTGGTGTCCAGACGACACCGGTATCGTATTCATGGGTTTCGAATATGGTCCCTATCCGCTTGGATTAGTCTACTGCGTTCAGCGTCCCTGTCGGCTGTATCATCTGGACTTCGGTGAGTACCTTACACACACTTGTCGTACGTCAGGTGGAAAGACCCTTATCTCCTGTTCGGCAGCTTCCAAACCTTACTTACCTAGCAACTCCTAGTCCTTCATGCCTCTTAGTAAGGGAAGCTTTTTCAACTCATTTGGAACAGCCTACGAAATTGCTCTTTCCTAAAAATGTTAGGCGCATGACCCCTAAATGTTGATTGCGGGAACACACTCAGATGTAACTGCCTTTTCAGTGAAGGATAAACATTAGCAGTACGCCGTTGCGCTTAGCCTACACTTCGTTGCTATACCACAACTACTAGCCAAGCGCATGCAAGCTCCTTCTCATCTACGTAGATTCGAACCAAGAATGAGGTGAGCCAGGAAGTTGCTGTTGCTTGCTAATATTTGCTCCTTATGATTTTGTTCTGATTACTTTGGTGGCATTGATTTGACAGTTGAGGTTAACGGAACCCACGTTAGTTGGTCATCACATATTATTCCAAACGACATTTCATCCTTTAAGATGAAATATGGAATGTCGATACGCCCAAGGTCACTATACCCGGCCACCGATGTTTTAGCTCGTCTCCCGTTCTTATACATTCTGGTCACAAAATGGTTTATCGCTTAATTTTTTGGTTCCTCTTTTTATTTTGTGTTATAACTTTTATTTTGAATTTAACTTTGTTTGCTCCATAAAGAGGTAACCAACTTCTACCCAATACTATTACTAATCCAGTTTTTGAATCAGTTTCTTTTCTCACGCCTCTTTGTCGATTACCGAGAGTAGACCCATTTAGGATATCTGTTATGTTGCTAGACGTCTTCCAGTTGTTAGAATGCATACATAGATTTCACTGCACTGGCCTTTAACTGTATTCACCCTAAATCAGAAACTTGTCAAACGGCGCTTGGGTTTTAACTTTTACTAGGTATGGATATCTGGTTTTCCTTCGCTTGCATTTCGAATTAGCCAAGTTGAATCCATAGTTTCCTTCATCTTTGCTGCGCTACGAGTAGGTTCGGTTGATCAGCTACGGTTAGTGCACAGAACTACACCGGATTCAGCTGTTCCAAGTCAGCACCTGCTAATTTTCCCTAGAGATAAAATAGAGAAATCATTTTCGGTTTATGGAGCACCCGCCGTCTTGGATTGCGACGCGATATTTCACTCGTGGCGTCGGTTGACTTTGAAGTCAGCCTCTGCCAATACGGTCACTGGGACCGTCACCAAAGTGGAGGGTTTCGGTGTGGCTCTCTCCCATCCCTGCACTCCACGACCGACGGTTTCGTCTTTGTTTAGACTCATCAGGTAGAGAAAGCCGAGCTGAGAGTGGAACTTGGCGCATCGTAATGCAGGACACACGGCGGGTGCTCCAAAACCCGAAAATCTACCTATAACAGCTGTGTCAAACACTGCTCGCGGAGCTCATTGGCCTAGTGATCATGGCGATAACCGCCAAGCACTATGTGTCGAGTTTTACTTCCAGCTCAGCTATCTCTACCTGATGAGTGTATACGACGAAACTGTCTGTCGTGGAGTGCAAGGATAGGAGAGAGCCATACCGAAACCCTCCAGTACGGAAATCATGTCATAAAGAGCTGATTGGAATACATAAGAAGTGAACAAGTAGATTTGTGACTTCCCCATGTTCATCGAAATCTCCAACCGTTTGCGTCGTTTTCACGATGACAAACCAGCCGCCTCCATCATCCCTCTTTTTGTCCCATCATCGCCATACTAGCTTCGGTATGGGCACCGTTGTATACGAAGTATGCACTTCACATGTCCTGTTGGGTTTTGTGTTGAGTGCTTTTATAAGCGTTACAACAAGAAACGGTTTGTACGTTTTCTGCTAAAAGCCAATCTCTTTTTATGTGTGTACTGCCCTAGTTCTGTTTTCCGCATCATTTCACAGCGCACAACTAGGTGACGGCCGGAAGTGGACCGGATACCTAACACCAAACGAAGAAAATTGTTGGTTGTGTTCGCCATGCGGTGTCAGTGCAAAAACGGTCCATACTGGGAGTCCGCTCCAGATATGACACTGTGCTAAATGAAGAGCTTTTTATGACGTTCCAGGCGATCGTACTGTTTCGACACTTGTATGGGGTGTCCTCACAGCTTATTGCTACTGCCGCGTTCTAGCACAGAACTGCACACTTGCTCTGGATTATGCGGGGTGAAGCAGGTCACCTTCTAATCGAGCATTTCATCCGCCGTGTATTTACAAACATTAACTTGTGTAGACAATTCAATAGAAACTAGTGTAACTACAGCACCGATTTTGGCGGCACTCGGTTTTTCTCACTTCATGCTGCCGCCTTAACTCTTCGCTTTCGACACTATTGCCTTACTGTTACAACGTACTATCGTACGTACTATCGATGTCCGCAGCAGTGAGCTTTTCATCAGTGTGGCAAACGCGCTATCGATATACTAACCAGTGGGGGCGTGCAAGATGTCTTCTATCATTTGGAACCGGATTGTCTTGCATCTAGGTAAACCAGGATATGGATACAAATGAAAGTGATGGCCAAAGCTCTGCTGCTCTCTATAGCGAAAGCAGAGACCTAATGTTTCTCAACATGAAACTGCGCACACAGAATGCTTTTTTAGCACGCTATTTACACTGATGCTGTGCACGCTCCTTTTATGTGTCAAACCCTGTCACGGTGAATACCTCGTACCTTCTCCATCTTCACACTCTTTCGAATTTTATTGACTCATTTTTGTACTCTTTACAACCATCTTTCTTTATTATTGACAGCGGGATCTGATCACCTGCGCCTACTTATCGGGCATTTTCTCTATCATAACCCCTAACCATCGGTCGACCCTATTGCTCATAGCCAGGTCCAAGTCGGGCAATTCTGAATCTTATATCATTACTTGATCGCCCTGTCTCAATGCGCAGTCGAGGTGTATTGGCCACGTTCTATGCATGTCATGCGAACGCTTATCACGCCGCGCCTTATTGACTCGCACTACATTGAATTGGAGGACGACGCGTGGAGGTCAACCAACCACTTGGCGGCAAATCATGAAATCGCTGACCTCCTGTCTCGCAACCGTCGTCCCTCTACGTCTTCATGGTTGGGGTCCAAACGATGAGGACGGACAATGGCTCGGCACACTTGGTGATGTGACGCGAAACTAGAATCAATGGCAGAACTATCCATTTAATGTATTAAACAATATGCTTAGCGCTGTATCAAACAAACTGACAAAAACAACAAAATGGCGTGTGAAATCAAGCAAAAAGCTCTGTTCCTGACTTTTGTACTCTCTTCTACTTTTGTTCCTCGTGGTTTTCATGGCTCGATGTCTATTTATTGACTGATACAAATATTCTATCATTGCAGTTTGATGGCTATTTTTTAAAGGGAGTTCGGCAACATCCGTTTTTGCGACGCAGTAGGTGGCACGAAATGTCTCATTTCACCATCGTTCGACGGAAATTGTCCGTTGAGCACTTAAGAATCGGCTGCTCGTACAGTTGTACAGCTTAAGTGAGCATCCATACAGACACCGTCACCTTGGCTTTGCTTGTATGGTCAATCACCTGTGGATTTACATGTCGAAAAGGCCCGGTATATGGAGGAAACTGAAGTCTACGCACGAGCCAAGTGGATCTAGTGTAATATCTGACCAATTCTGGAAAACCGACGCAAACTGGTATTATTAACGAGTAGTGGCGATTTGGGCGTGATTCGAGATGTGGTTCGTCGCCATCCCCTCAGCCAGGTTGGCTCCCACACATCTAAAATATCACCGGACAGATGTTTCGACTTCCTGGGTTTCGTCAGGGGTGTGCCTTCCTCGGATCCCTACCGGATTCCGACCGCATGACTTCCGGATGCTAGCAGCTTGTGCCAATGAGCCATGTGGATGACGGCGGCGGACCTGCACGACTAACAGTTGACTGCAGTATAGCGCGGCTCATCCTCCACTGCCTTTCCAATTACGAACTGTGCAGAAGACAGTAGTGGGCCCCGAGCTACGACTTTCCGCAGTGAGATTATGTACGACACATCTATTAGAAGATATACGGACGGACTTTTGCCTACTAATGAGTAGTGGGGACTTGTGTGTAACTTTGGATGTATTTAGGTATTGTTTGGACCGCGTTCCTCTCGTGCGTTCCCTGTGGATCCAATTCCACCGTAAGCTCCCATCTTACGTTACCAAAGTTTGACACTGGTATCACTTTCGTTACCAGTATTTCTTCGCAGCTGCTTGTCAGATATTGTTTCTTTGTTCTACTTAGCCCCTTTAACCGTGTACACCACACTTATCCGAATTGTTTGGTCTTGTTTTTTTAGCGACCGGCCAGATCAAGCCAATCAGCGATAGTAACCGATCCGCCAGCTGTCCACGTTTCAGTCCCGATGGGAAGGTTCTGATTTGGACAGAGGTCGATGTCAGTGGTCCACACGGTCAATGTCGTGCTCTGATGAGCCTTTCATGGCCACCGGCTGAAATGTCGGTTCCCACAACTGTGATCCCAGTGGTCCAGACGCCAACAGTCCACAATGGTTTTCCAGGTCTGTAGCCAATCGTAACATCACATTTCCCTGCTTGTTCCACTGCGACTTCGCATATACATAACAAACACCGATTGTTCGATAGTGCGTCAGATCCTGCTCACTTCATCGAGTTATTCTGGATTTTCATCCTCTTGAATATACTTCATGTGTGTGCAACCGCTGCATGATCTTTGTCGTAGCCGTTCCAACTTTGATGAATGCGTTAGATTGCTGCTAGACACTTGTCACCATGGACTATAGTCATCTCACTTTGGGTTGTGTTGTTCGTGTTTCAGCGTCGGACATTGTATCCGTTGTCGACATTCTCTCTAGGTTCATTTCCTGCCCTTTTTAGGGCTTTTACTTTGTAGGACTGTACTGTGATCTGCCGGAACGATGTTGGACTTCCGATGGCCGATATGTTGTGCTGACAACTATCTGGGGACTGCAGCTATCTACACTGATGGTTCCCATCACCCACGCCTCGCTGCATCACGATTGTCTTGTTTACCCGATTTATAGTCCAATCGCTGAGTGCAAAACTGCTGACACTGACCTAACTGATTTTCCAAGTAGTGTCACTGTTTTGGACGTTTACCACGATATGGTTGTTGTCAGCTGCGAATCCGCTGTGCATCCACCTTTTGTCGCCGTTACCCAGTTGCCCAGAGACGAAAACAACCAAATATGCCCCAACCGCTTATCCATTTGCAAGTACGTTTTTACCCTTTGTCGACTGCGCGGCACACCAGCAATGTATATTCACCTCTTAGTGGCGTGCTACTTTCCACCTGGTGTATCAGCAGCATAAGTAACAAAGAATGTGAAACCTGCTGGTTGATTGTAGACATAGCGCTAACCCCCTTATCTGAAACCAACGAACCCATTTCTGGTAATTTTCAAAAGCCGTAAGATTTTTTTTGCACATCAGTCTTGTTTCAACTACTGTGAAGCGCATACGTTTCACCCTGTATCAAACTACTTTTAGATGGTGTCTCATTCCTTGCGGTGGCCCATCTCTGGACTGCAGCATACCATACGTGAGCGGTGTACAGCATTCCATTCTGACTGCGACCGATATTCACAATGTCGAACTTCCTTACTGGGAATCACTTTTACTCCAGCCTTCTTTGGATGAGGATGGAACACTGAAAAATGTAGATAGTAAGTGCTAACCTCGGAGGTTTTTTTCCCATGAGTTGACTCTTCGTTTGTGATCATTTTTATGACTGGACATAAAGTGAAACCCACGAAAGTTGACCATTCAAGGAACCGGACCAAAGTGGTCAACATAGGTCCTATACAAACGCGTTGCATATCTTACTTTCCCGTTGTCAGTAGTACATTATGAACTTTATTTTACCATACATCCTGTTTCGAATGTTACATAATGGCAAACACAGTTATGTCATACATTATTATGACAAATCCAAACGCAGTGAGGTTTTTATTTAACTTAAATCAATCTTTGTATGTTACTCTGAACACAAGCGTAACTGGTCAAACAAACACTCGAACTCCTGATTGCGATCTGTGAAGTGGGCAAACACCTGGCCCGCTAAAGGTACGCGTGTCTTGGTAAGTAGCCGTGTGTGGAAGGTGTTCAGACAAAAGACGGCCAGGAATAATGCATTTACGCGGATCTGTGTGGACTCGTTGTACGAAGTAAACACTCACGTGTGTGAACACTGAGGAGCGAATCAAAAATGCACACGCCACATTTCCGGAAAAAGAACATGTTGTATCGTCAAACATCTGTGGAACCGTAAAGTGCAGTTGTTGTGGGTCAGGAGAATTTCACACATTGCAAAGTCCCACTACATATACACTATGATTTGAAAAAATCAGTTCAATGTTCAATATCCACACAATAATGACTGCTGTAGCCCAAATGGTCGACGTACAATTTACTACACAATATTCAGAGGGCTGGTTCCATAACGTTTACATAGTGAATGTCCCAGCGATGAGATTTTACAGCGTCTAGAGACATGCAGTCGTCACTGTCATCTCTTTTTCGTGTGACCAAGATATCTTGGACGTTCATCCGAACACGGTGATTTTCTATAGTCACTACCGAATTTTATTCGCTTCGGAAACTCCCATTCTTATGCAACACCTTGCATCTCATCTTCAATAGCTATTCGGCTATTACAACACGCCGTCAGAAAGGTCACATAAAGGCGCTTGACATCACTTATTGTCACAAAATAGGTTATTTTTGCGCCATTCTCCCCACATCTCTCATGAGATGTCGGTATTAACGCGCTGACCTTAGTAGTGACTCATCCCAGTTTATTGTATCACGAGAACGACGACTGTTAGATCCTATCATCTGAGTGAGACATCCATTGAGCTATGCTGGATGGTGCTTTTTTGCACCTTCAGAGCCACTCATACCAGATTGGTCAATGGTTAGAGGCCAGACAAACTCAGCCTCCTGGTCCTCCAGGTTGGGGGTTGGAATGGGGATGGCTCCTCATCTCATAAAACGGGCTCCGTAGTCCAGTGCCAAAACCCGCTGCCTTGCGGTAAGGTTTTGAACCAAAGGCTTTGGTTGAGAACCCTAATCGTTCTCCTGTCTAGACCTGGGCAACCTGACAGTATTCTGCCCACGCAATACAATACAATGAAACTTTCCTACAACAATTTCTTGATGCTCTGGCCGTCGCAGAGGATAATAAACGGCGCCCCATCTGCTGCATGGAGCAGGGTGGATAGGGGTATGGATGCTACTGCTCAGGTCTTCCCGTCTTCTTATACCCCTTCTTGCGCTTCTTCATCCTTATCGTTCCGCTCCAACTTTACTTATATCCCCCCATTTTCAATCCCCCAATTCTTGGCCCTCCCCCAGCTTACTTCAGTAGTCGCTTGTCTTCTAATTTCAAATCACACACAATCGCAGGGCCTCGCTCCAATCCAGTTGACAAGCCCATGTTCAACCAAGCGGACAACGTCAGTCCATCCATCTCCCTTTGGAGTCCTCGCGTCTCGCTAAGACTGGCATGCCTCAACGTGCGCACTTTGCTGCGGATTGGCCAACAGGCAGCACTTGCCCGCACACTAGAGACCCTGTCGATGGATATTTGCTGTTTATCAGAAACCCGCCTGCAAGGTTCGAGCTCCGCGCTTACCCTGAGATCCCCCACATGCGACACTGGCGGCACATTCTCATTGCGCCTGTCTGGCGATGATGCAGCTTCAAATGCCGGTCAAGCTGGCGTCGGCATTGTTTTGAGTCCCCGGGCTGAAGTTGCCCTGATTGATTGGATCCCAGTAAACAGTAGGATGTGCGCCGTTAGATTAGCTGGTTCGTTCCGTGCTACGAAGTCGCGCGGGGACAAACGGTGCCTGTTTGTCATTGCGGCCTACGCCCCTACAAACTGTAGCACTGATTCGGTAAAAGATGATTTCTATCAGCAACTTCACGAGCTCCTTCGTTACAGAAGAAGCACGGATACTGTGGTGTTGGTTGGCGATCTAAACGCCCAAGTCGGAAAGTTGTCCTCTGATGAGCTTCATCTGGGTGGCCAACATGGTGTAGGCTCGCGTAATGATAATGGTGAGCGATTGCTACAGCTGTGGGATGATGCTCGCCTGTTTCTCGCGAGCACTAACTTTCGACATAGCACCCGCCGAAGCGTGACTTGGCGGCCACCAGCCTCGGGCCAGCGATGGACGCAAATCGATCATATCGCGATCAGTTACCGCTGCAGAGGCTGTGTCCAAAATTGTCGCTCGGTTTGGAACACGGGCGTGGACTCTGACCACGCACTTGTCTGTGCCGACCTCCAGGTGCGTTTCGGTGGACGTCTGCAACGTCGATGTGAACGGATTGACACCAGTCAGCTGGCGAAGCCAGATGTTCTGAATGTGTACCAAAATGCGCTGACATCTGGGCTGAGTAAGCGCCCACTAAACGCCGTTGAAGATCACTGGTCGCATATTCGTCAAGCGTTACTGTTAGCAAGCATGTCTTCATGTGGCAACGCAAATTGCCAAACCGGACATTGGGTCTCTACACAGTCTCTGGAACTTATGGATGCTCGCTGACGTATTCCGGCTGGAAGCGAATACAATAAGGCTCGCAAAAATTTCAGCGCAAAACTCCGTGCTAGCCTGAAGAGAGACCGCGAAACCTGGTGGTCTCATCGTGCCTCTGAGATGGAAACAGCCGCTGCCGTTGGTAATCATCCTAAGTTATTCCGTCTGATACGGGAAACAGGCAGCAGGAGACCTGGTGTTAGCGAGACCATACGCGACGAGAGTGGGCAGCTGATCCACAGCCGGTCAAAACGGTTGGAGCGTTCGGCTGAACACTTTGCAAGACAATTTAACAAACCTGAGTTATCGCTTTCTTCTTCGGGCATTGAGCGCCCTTCTCTTTGGGCCGTCTCCTCGGATCCGCCATCACGCGCAGAAGTCGAACGTGAGATCAGGCTGTCGAAATGGCATAAGGCCGCAGGGGCAGATAGAATTCCCCCAGTCTTCTTCAAATTCGGGGGACCTGCTCTAGTAGATGATTTACACGAGTTGCTAGTAAAACTTTGGGAGCAGGAGACAGTCCCGACAGACTGGAACCGCTCCGTCATTGTCCTAATTTTCAAGGGAAACTCCCGTTTGGAATGCGGCAATCATAGAGGGATCAGTCTGATGTCGATTGCCTCTAAATTGCTTGCATCTGTCATTCTCCACAGACTGACTGGCACTCGTGAAAGCCAGATTCATGAAGAGCAAGCCGGATTTCGTCGAGGTCGGGGCTGCATCGATCACATCTTCACGTTGCGTCAAGCGTTGGAGCACCACCATGTTTATTGGCGACCCACCGTTGTCGTGTTTCTTGACATAAGAAGTGCCTTCGATTCGGTCGATCGATGTGCCCTTTGGGACTGTCTGTTGAGGAAAGGTGTGCCTGATAAATATGTAAACATTATCAAAGCGCTGTACGCGCATAGTTCGGACAGGGTGAGGGTTTATGGCAAACTCTCGCCACCCTTCAGTATCACCAGCGGTGTGAGGCAAGGATGCCCGCTGTCACCTTTCCACTTCAACTTCGCCATTGATGAAGTCATAGAAACAGCGTTCGCTGGACACGACCTAGATGGTGTGGAGCTACTTCCTGGTGAGCGACTTCTTGACTTGGAGTATGCGGACGATATTGCCCTAATCTGTGACAGCCTCCAAACATGCCAAACAGCACTGGACCGATTAGCACTGGCTGTCAATCGTTTTGGGCTATGCATTGCTCCATCGAAATGCGAAGTACTTCTCCAAGATTGGCAGGGACCCAACCCTGCGCTAACGCTTGGTGGTGATCTGCTAGAAGTCGTTCAGGAATTCAAGTACCTGGGCAGCTATATTAGCACCCGTGGGATTGAAGATGAGGTTACGAACCGTATAGCAAAAGCTCGAGGTGCTTTTGCCAATCTCCGCCACCTGTGGTGCAGACGCGACATTACTCTCGCCCTGAAGGGCAGAGGTTACAACGCAGCCGTCCGTTCAACTCTCCTATACGTTTCTGAAACCTGACCCATCAGGTCGACAGACATGAAGAGGCTCGTCACATTCGATCCTCGCTGCCTTCGCAGCTTAGCTCATATCTGGTGGGAACACCGCGTGAGCAATGAGCGTGTTCGACGTCGCGTATTTGGTGCAAGAAGAGTGAGTGAACCGCTCAGCACCATTATATCACGCACCAGCCTCCGATGGCCGGGGCACGTGTTGCGCATGCCAGCACACCGACTCCCGCAACGTGCATTGTTTGCACGTTGTGGGTGCGGTTGGAAGAGAAGGAGGGGAGGCCAAGTGATGACTTGGTCGAGAGAAATGAAAACCCTCTCTTCGAAGTTGGCGTCGGTTGGTGCATCCCGACTGCCTGGCTGGGGCCCTAAGGACGGTGAACACGTTTGTTTGGGCACACTTGCTGATATGGCTAGGAGCCGGCACCAATGGCGTTTGTGTTGTGATTTCCTTCTTCCATTCTCCTCCTGTTTAGTATCCCCCTCCAATCACGATCTCAATCGTTAGGCATAATACGATTCTCTTTTACGGCAGCCAGCTGTTAGCTCTCCGGAACGATGTCCATCCGTTACTGGGGACTCAGCAGGCGTGCCACTGTTTGCCACTGTTTTTCTTTTCTTTTCTTTTGTATTGCGGCACAATAGCTGAGGTGTTTTCCACCTCCAGCTAACGTGTAATGATGATGATCATCTGAGTGACCCATGGCTATTATCGACCACTAATTCTTTACAATTTTGCGTGCGCGTCACGTGTGGTATCCATATCCATACCATTCTCTCGTGGTCTTCGTTTTCCTTTGGCATGACTCAGTTGAACCACTAGGATGTCAATTCGAACGCTCCATTACACCCCCCAGTTTCGTTCTTCCTTCCCAGGCATGATGGACAGTCTCAGCAGCAGTACGCCGGTACGCCGTGTCTACGCTTCGCTGCCGCGCAGCCACCACCAGTCACACATTGTCTAAGGGTACTGCGAGGGTCATCCCGGTCCGCTACGCAGACTCGAACCCACGCCCACGAATTACAAGGCAGGCTTGTGATACTTAAGGCTACGGGCCGCCTCCAAGCATGATAATCTCTTTTTTATTCATCACTAGAAGGAAGAGTAGTCTGTTGGTGCTTCGGGCCAATACTTTGGATATTGCTCTACCAGTAAGCTCAAGCCTTGACTTCGGGTTCATTCGTCCATTGTCTAATAATTCTTCATTGTTAATCGTAGTGCTTAGGTTTCCTTTATTGTTTGATTCACGACTTCCCCGCGATTGGCTTATTCAGGTTCTCTTGTGCAATTTGGTGACTGCCATACGTCGTTCAAACGTCTACACGACTTCAAACTTTCCTGTGCTCTCTTATCTTTTTTCGCATGTCAGCCTATGACCCGACTGTTACAATCTCATCCCTGTGGGAACCATTGTCGAAGAATGCTGAACTATACGGACTGGTTATCTGTCCTCACGGAGGCCCCCAGAGTGCGTTCGCTAGTTCCTGGTCACCTGTTGTCGCTGGTTTCCTCGCATGCGGTTTCGCCTGTTTGCTTGTCAACTATCGCGGCTCACTCGGATATGGCGAACAGTCGGCTCGGTCTCTTTTGGGCAATATAGGACACTACGATGTGGACGATTGTGTTCAGGTACACTTTGCTCCTTTACAACTGTCATCACTTGGACGTTGTCATTTGGCGGCCGAAGCGTGTTCTCCTCGCATTTCTCCTGCTTATTCACTTCCGAGTATTCCATTGTTTCCTCTGCAGTTACTAAGTCTGTTCGCTACCTTTTCATGTCATCTTATGAGTGGATGGTGGACGCAACGGAGCCATGAGTGGCGATGTCTCCGCTTGTCACCAACTACCGCGTTGTTGCATTGATCAACTGTTTGCTGTCGGTCAGGGATATTCACACAAGGGTGGGGGCATGTATGTGCAAATTGCTGACCGACCATACCGTTAGACTCGATATATCGGGACCATTCCCTCAAAAACTGAAGACCGACTGTCTGAACGTTCTCGCTGACCACCTGTGCTATGGATATTTTGCATATATATATATATATATATATATATATATATATATATATATATATATATATATATACTGCTTTGCGCCTATGAAAACCGGATCCTGTCCTTTGTCAACTAACTGCTGACATACGTACCTGCTTCATTATATTAATCTACACATTAGCTACAGGTGGGAAACACCTCAGCTATTGTGCGCAATATTAAAGAAAAGAAAAAAAACCATGCTACAGAGACACGCCGGCAGAGTCACCAATAACAAACAGACATTGTTCAGGAGAGCTAACATCCGGCTATTGTGCTTAATAGATGGGATCGTGGTTAGAGGTGGAGGGACAAAGAAGCTCCCAACAAAAACGCCATTGAGGTCCGCTTCTAGCCATGTCAGCGTGTATATCCAACCAAGCGTGTTCATTATCCTTCGGTCCCCAAACAGGGAACCGAGAGATTTCAAATGAGGCCAACTTCAGCTAAGGCCCTTCACCCCTCTTTACCAAGTGATCACTTGGCCACCCCTCCTCTTTCATCCACACCGGCGCGCAAACAACGCACGTCGTGGGAAACGGTGAGCTGGCATGCGCAACACGTAACCCAGCCATCGGATCCTGGTGCGTGAAATAACGGTACTGAGTGCTTCGCTTCTTCTTCCTACGCCATAAACAAGGCGTCGAACAGACTCATTGATCACGCGCTCTCCCCACCAGCTATGCGGTAAACTGCGAAGGCACCGGTGGTCGAACCTTACTAGCCTCCTTATGTCTGTTGATCAAATATACCAGCTTTTACAGCCGTAAAGGAGAGTTGAACAGACAGCTGCATTGTAGACTCTACCATTCAGGGAGAGAATGATGTTGCGCCGCCGCCATAAGTGGCGAAGGTTAGCAAAATCGCCTCAAGTTTCTTGCTATACGGTTTGCACTCTCGTCTCCTATCCCAAGGACATTTTTGAATGACTTCCAGTTGCTCTCCACCAAGAGTTAGTGCAGGTGGCTGTCCCTTCCGATCTTGGAGGAAAGTATTGCACTTCGAGGGTACCACTTCTCTTCGGACGTCTTGGATATTACCAACAATCTTTCTTAATCCGGTATTCGTTCGAAATTTCGTCTCACTGTAGAGCTTCATTTTTTCACTCTTAGCAGTTCAAGCTCCCCTTTTGGATGCATTAGTCTGTTTTGTGCACTCTTTGCTTTCATCACTCGATAGTAAAAACAAACCCACGCGGATCTACTTCCCAGATTACAGCCATGCCTGCGGTTGTGTAAACCGCGAGCTGTTGTTACACAATCTGCTAGTTTCCGGGGTTCAACCTCCATTAGTACTCTTTCTTACAGACTACTTTGCCAATCGTATGCAGTTTATCAAGATTGAGGAAAAAAGCTCTTCCTCATTCACCACAAATTCAGGTGTTCTTCAGCGAGCTGTTTTGTCACCATTTCTATTTCCCCCCTAAATTAGCTCAATTCACGCTCCACAGGAAGCCATTCTGCTGAAATATACTGATCACATGATTCTCGGTGTACACACACCACGGATTCATCGGCAAACTTGCAATACTTCTTGGACAACCTCATCTCCTGGTCCAGATTTCACTATCTTTCAGTTAACGCATCAAAATGTAAAGATGTCCTTTTCTTGCTATCCAAGGGAAATTGTTATCCACAGCTCCTGACGCATACCCCGCATCTTAGTATCGACGGTGTCAGTCGGAACTCCTGTACATCAGTGAAATATCTCGGAGTTACACTAAGTCGGGATCACACGTGGTCACATCACGTGAATGAAACATTCACTAAATTCAGGAGACTAACGTTCTACGTCTCCCGACTTAGGTCTTCATCCGTGCCTCGATACTTAATTCTACGGTTTGTCACCGCTTCCATAATACCCCACTGGACGTATTGCTCACTTGTGATATTTCCTAAACTCCTAAACGGGTAAGTCAAAGTGATCAACAGGTCACTGAAGCATCTTACTAGATGCAGCGGAATTTCTGTTAGTGTTTACTGACATCATTTTGTCTAATCATGTTCGCTCCTGCGAAACACTGGCTTCCAAGTTACTCACCGATACCATGCACTCTCTCTCCATTGTGCATCGTCGGAATGTATCTCGACTTATTCGATCAGGCATTCGTACAAAGCCATTTATACCCACACACGGGCTTACGGTACATCAGTTCCCTACTTGTCACATTTTCTGAGGGATGAAGATGTAATCAAACAAGACCTTATAGCCAGACTGATTCAATGACATCACCACCGCCACCTTTTCAAATTGATGGTGCGCCATATACATTTGTTATATTTTTACTTGATTTCATTTGTGCCCTTAGCTTGTGTGTTGTAACTAGAAATTCACTCTTCATGGGTACATAAAGCTCACTGTTGACTTGACTTGACATCCAGTGTAAAACGCCTTTTGGAAAACCTCGTTTCACTCACATTTTTGATTGGTTTCTGCCGCCATCACCGGTTTTCTGTTGATAAACAAACGTTACATGTCGTATTCGCAACCACTTGTGATTATGTGATATCGTGCGCGACCATTGTCAGGTTGCGATTTGCATCTGTGGTTGGACTCCTCAGTCACTATGCTTGCGCCGATGTGCTCTTCCATTGTTATTAGGTTAGCATTTTACCTATACCTCCGATTCCTCATTGATATTTACCCCAACAATTGTTCGCTTCTTTCAACATCCGCCTTTGGATCATATCAGGCGACTCAGTGTGCTTTAAGCCAACTACAAAAACATTTCAACAGAACCTTGCCCGCTGTTTTGTTTGGAGGATCTCACGGTGGATTCCTGGTGCTACATCTATCCGCTCGATACCCGGAGCTGTTTCGTGCTGTGGTGGCACGCAACCCCGTGACAAACTTGGCCAGCATGCTGGACACTTCCGATATCCCCGATTGGTGCTACACTGAGGCTGGCTTGTGTTCAGAAACCGCTTGGCCGTTGGACACTGTGCCTAGTGTCGACGCGTTAAGCTTATTGGCAAAGGTATCTCCTATCAGTCAGTTGACCTCCGGGTGGCGCGTTCCTTTGCTTTTGCTTCTGGGAGAGAAAGATCGTCGCGTTCCAGTTAGTCAGGTTTGTCATTCCATTTTGGCATGTCTGCAGGTTCCTTTGTTGACTGCCTTCTACTATTTTCAACCTATCGCTTTCTGTCCCTTCGCTCACTGTAGTTTGCAGTGGAAATCGTGAGAGTGATGGAAATATCATTTATGTACTCCATCGGCTTAGCCATGTTTTTGTGTCGGCGCATAACTGCATTAGTTTTTCTTGTATACTTTGGCGTCTTACAGTCTTCAAATCATGATTTACCCTAACTTTGCTTTCTGCCACTGAAGTCTTGCTCGTGCTATGTTACCCTGATCGCAATCTGGAAATCCTCATGTCCTTTCGGCGCCGCTGATCGGAAATTTTTGCTTGCCATCCGTAGTAGAATACTTTCACTTCTTTTTATGTTACCCTGATCACTGTGAATTGGCCGAATGATTCAGCAGCTTCTTACATACTAGACGGACTAACTCGTCATTGTTACCACTTTTGCACATAGAAAAGTTTTCAGTCCTCGTTATCGACTAGCACCGCGAGGCGTATCACCAGGTCAACAAACTGGCTATTCTCAACAATTCTTCGAAAATGATCAAGCGTGGATTTGGACAAGTCATTCACTTTATGACTGCGGCGACTATTCATTGTTGCTCTATCTGGCTTATCTACTCTACACCATTTGGTTCCGAGAGAGAAAGTGCTTGCAGACCGCCCGGTGGCCGAATGCTTAAGGCATCTGCCTCCTATTCCAGTTATCGTCAGCTCGAATCCCCCTGGGAGTCCGGGCCACGTCGCAGGATCCCTAGCGATGGGTAGTAGTCGCGTGGCAACGAGACGTCGCTACGATGACGTACTGGTGCATTATTGATATATCTTTCTCTTTCCATTCAAACACACAGGTGTCCGCAGTGATTGTCTAAATGCTGAAAATGTACCCATTAGGGTACATAAAGCTTATTTTGACTTGACTTGAAAACGTAGAAACTTTTATGCTGGCCTTCTGTGTGTGTCGTGTTAGAGTATCTTGCCTTCTGTTTGCTTAGTGAATGTATCCAATACTGAGCGAAACCTCATTCTGGAATGTTTCCTCTTCATCAAACAATTAGCCACTACTTTTCAGCAGAGCCGTAGCAGCCATTGCTTCTTTCGCGAGTACCCCTGTTTAATCCTAATGTCATCCAACACAACGACCATTCTGTTACATGTCAGCGACTCAAGTCTCTGTCATAATGAACAATGATGTATCACTGGTAAAAAAGAAATTGTTTGACGAAAGGCTCATAGTATTGCGTGGGCAGGATACTGTCAGATTGCCCAGGCCTAGACAGGAGAACGATTATTATTCTCAATCAAAGCCTCTGATTCAAAAACCTGACCACAAGGCAGCAAGTTTGACGTTGGGCTACAAGGAGTCCGTTTTAAGGAATAAGGAGCCACCCTCATTTCAACCCCCAACCTGGAGGACCAGGAGGCTGAGTTTGTCTGACCTCTAACCATTGAACAATCTGGTATGAGTGACTCTGAAGGCGCACAAACCACCACCCAGCATAGCTCAATGGATCGCGGAAGCACGCAAATCATCGCACCATGGTAAGGTCCAGCCTCTACGCATGCCAGCCCACTGACTCCCGCAACCTGCGTTTTTTTGCGCGCCGGGGGTGTGGATGGAAGAAGAGGAAGGGTGGCCAAGTGATGACTTGGTCAAGAGGAATGAAGCCCCTCACTTCGGTGGTGGCCTCGGTTGGAGCGTCTCTGCGACCTGATTGGGGTCCGAAAGACGATGAACACGTTTGGCTGGATACCCTTATTGATATGTCTAGAAGCCGACCTCAGTGGCCTTCGTACTGTGAGTTTCTTTGTTCCACCCCATCCCTCCATCCACGATCTCACTATTTAGCCTTATATAATTTTGCATGAGAAATTATTTTTTTCTGCTGCATAGTAGCCAGTTGGTAGCTTAACGGAACGATACCCATCCGTTACCGCTAGCTCAGCTTACTTACAGCTGTTGCATTTTTTCCATTTTTTATGTATTGCGGCACAGTAGCTGCGGTGTTTCCCACCTCTGACTAACGTGTATAATGATGATAATTAATGGTAAAAAAGCAGATGTTTGTCAGCTCCCCAGGATGGTTGCGGTGACAAGTAGAAGTATCAATAAGTATTTGAACCATCAATCTAAGCGTCCACCGGCTTAAGTCAACTGCTACATGACGATAGTGCAAAGCGGAAATGGAATGTGCTCGTTCTCTCATGTGCTGCCTCTTTGGACCGATGTTTGACGTAAATCTAGTTCATCATAATGATATTCCACATTCGTCCCGTTTAGGTTATAAGATGCAGGGAGTGGGACTGAGCGTTGAGTAGCATTGATGGGATATTATGAGACGTGTTAGTAGACTCCTCGTCCTCTACTTGCACGAACCTCTCTGGCATAGCCTTAAGGATCACAAGTCTGCCTTACAATCCTTGGTCGCGGGTTCGAGCCTGAGTAGGGCACCGTGTGACCTTCACGGTACCCTTAATCAAGTTCAACTGGTGGTGGTTGCGTGGCAGCGAAGCCTCGGTACTGCGTACCAGCGTAGTGCTGATGCTTGTTTGCGAACGTGCATAGGTCTCTGTTGCCCCTTAGATCGACAGTTCGCAGTCTCCTATTCTGGATCGCCCGACTACTTATTGTTAGAAAGTAGTATATCGACTTAGATGTTTTCCTATGAGTTTCGGCAGAGCCAACTTCGTTCAAGGCCACCGCACATTCCGAAAAAAGGTCAAACTACTTTCGTTAACGCTGCTCTCCGTCGAATCTTACGGAGCTCCAACTTTCTTCTGCAGAGGAGCAGCTTAAGCCGCTGAGCCACGGGTAGCAGCGTCGAACCGCCGCGGGCTGTCACACGGATGTAACATCGCATGCATCTCCACTCTGAAGGCAGTACAGGAAAAAGCTGGACCTTCGTTCCTCATTCCAAACACACGCGGATGGTTTCTCCAGACTAACACATTTCTTAATCACTGGGTCAAATAAACCTAGTGATCTAGTGATTGCGGCTTTGGACCGCAGTCACGTACTTACCCGTTCGGTCTCCAACTCCCGTATCTTCTTGGCTTTTCTGAGGAAAATGTAACCGGTCGTGAAATACACAATTGTTAAAGATTAACAGCACTATTTCACTCCTGTTATATCTGGTAACCACAGGAAAATGGCTTAGATTGTCATTGGATCATTTATTTTCCAATTAGACTACAGCACGAAGTGCAATGTCCAACCGAATGCGCGTACGATTTGTGGGGCGCATTCCGCTACATATACGTTTCACAACTAATCTATTACATATTCGCAACGTGTGATGGAGCGATCAATGAACTCATCTGGACTCGTCCGGCGTTCGTCTCATTATCAGGTGACTTGTGCGTAGAATGCTAATTTGGAATTGTCGGTGTTTGAACCAGACCAAAGAGGGTGTCCCGATTTGATTGTCACATATTCGCGCCAGCTAGTGCTTTAGTAGTCTTACTGTGGAGACAACTTAGTTGTTATTTTACCAGCCCTAATCTGTGTTATTTGGTAGATTCTCTTTCTTCTGGTCTGTGCAGTGTAACGGTCGGTTTGTCTAGTCCGAGTACGTCATGGATTTAATCTCTTTAATGCAGTCACTGATACATTAAGCTTTTGCCATCATTCCCAGCTGGGTCAGTGAATATCGATTTTTGCACCTACGAGTTGTTCTACCGCTGCGTTTCGATTTTCTCCATCGTGGTGGCCAAACACTGACTTTGTTCTGTCTACCGCTAATGTCCTACTGGTTTATTTCGCATTTATACTGTTACTTTTCGTGAGTTATACATTGGATGGTTGTTAGAGCTCCGAACTATTTCGATTATTCTCCATTTTCAGTTCATAAATCCATCATCTCTTCAGCAATCTGGAAATTGGTTGTGGTGTTTGATGCATCAATAAGCCTCCTCACTTTATTACTCCCTCCCGTTTAATGCTGTACCACGAATTATCTTAAATAGGATTCAATGTTTACTCATTCGGTCCCTCAAAACGATGCCCCTCGTTGGAGTCGAAATATCCTCTCAGCTGATACAAAGTGCTTCGCAGTTTCCCACTTGAGATCGGTCACACTCTTGTGGCTTGACACCAACCTGTAGTACCTCAAAGTTTGACAGAATGTAATGATCGGTGGAGTTGTAACTATACGCGCTTCGGAGTGTAAATCCGCTCTCCCGATGACACTGATTCGACCAGCCGATCAGCAAGAATATAGCTATGGTTTACGAAAGGGGAAATCACTCTCACAGTTGTAATACGATGGAGAGCTTTAAATTTGCCTTTAGTTTTCCAGATTCGCCTTCTTTTGATTGCTACTTTCTCTCACGTTTTAGGGCCTCACGTTTTACCGAAGGCTGAAGGCAAAGTGTCCCCAAGTGCCATGTGAGGTGCTCGTTTTCCCACACGACTGTCACCCCCTTGACTCCCCTGTCACGGACAAAGAGGTGTTTATTCGCACTGTGGAATGGTTTCATGCGCATCTCGGATCCCCTACGTGAAAATTGCACAAACAACACTTGCTGACTTTGTTCTTTTTCCTCTGATTTCGATCGTTCCCAATCCTTCCTCTTTATAGTGTACTCAAATGGCCTCGAATAAACTCATCCTCACCTCCTCTTCAGTTCTTTCGCTATCTAGCACCGCTGTGCTCGAGCGGTGCAGGACTTATTTGTCTCCTGATCTCTGAATGTTAAGACCGCATCTAATGAATCCACGATTATCCCCTAGGTCACCATAGACGACGACGCTTCCACTGTTTTACGTTTGCTATTGGCAGTCCGTAGCGTTTCATTGCTTAACTACGAAACACTGAACTCTTTCCACCGGGGACGCTAGCTACATTTGCAAACGGTTTTGGACTGTTAGCTGTTGTGTGAATCACGTAGCGAACACCATAGTTTGACGCTGACCATGAGCGCCACGGTTTCTAGCAATCCATCGCTCATTGAAATCAACTATCCTGTCTGATGAATCCATGGTTGGTCGCCACCATCTTTTTCCCGTTGGACCTTTTTACAGATTCTCTTCCAAGTAATCTGCAACCATTAATTTTTGTGATAATTTTGGAGAGGTTTCGAAGCAACCAGGTGGCGTATCTGTTTCGTAGCGTTTCACTTTTAACTCGAAGGTGTTGTCTACGGCATGGCAGTTCTGTCCTAAAATGTCGTACTTCCTTTTCCACAAGAAGACCTCTTGAGCCAGTATCTTACTGCACGTTTGGTTGCACTGCAATTGTAAAACATCATTGCTGAAATGAGCTGTTACATCATTTACACTTCACTGACGAGCGGATATAGTTTACTATGGAGTTGGAGTCTCGTAGTAGTATAAGACCATTTCTTGGTTCATAACAATAGAGGAGATTTGAAAGTGACAGTAGGTAGTAAACCGACAGGCTACCAACTACAGTTCAAGTCATCTGGAACATGTATGCTTGCATAATACCAACCCTGTTCTACAGGGCAGAAACGCAGTGCACGATAGAGGATTACGTGAAAAGACGGAATGAATAAACTGTTAGAAACTGGTCACTTCCGGCGGTTAGTCAAACACCGATTACAGAAAGGTTCACGATGGAGTGGATGCGGAGCGGTAAAAATTCTATACAAGGAAGAAATCTCGTACAGAGTTTGCAGGGTGCTAAACAGGGGGACTATAAGAGTGATATTTAACCGGGGCTGAACACTATGTTCAACGCTTATACATTTGAAAAACTCCTCTCCCAAGGATAGGACAGTCAATTGCATCTGTTAAACCAAATGAAAATACTGCACATGTACGCATCGGTCAACCCGCAAAAGATATGCATACTGATTTTATAGCGCAAAGGGCGTATCTGCTGCCACCGGGGAACGCGTTTGAGCACGAGGCACTATTAACAGGGAATGGAAATAGTAATGCATCCCCGGTGTGCCACATTAACGCTGCGATGCTACGCGACCACCACCAATGGCGCGTGCGCTACGAATACTGGGAGATGGTCCGCTCCTACACAACTCCTTATTAAGGGAACCACTTTTTGCTGTACATGTGCCAGATCGACTTGGGTAATGTGGAGATCAATAGGAGTGTGCGGGCAACGCCTCAGCTCGGTGGAAATCGCCAAACTCGCTATTCACTTGAACTAGATGGAGGACTGTGGGTGTCTTAAGTGAATGGTGTAGGTTGTAAGTCTTACCAGCCTGACGGAAGCCGACACGCGTGTCCTCTCGGAATCCAATAGTCGACTCCCTGTCGTCAGTACCAAGGGTTTATCTGTCAGTGTGATGATGCACGAGGGAGCGCCTGAACGATTCTCGCTGTGGCTGCGAACACTTGGGGTGGCACTAATTTCCGACGGAGTGTAACTTGGCGCCCACCAGTCTTGGACGCAGATCGATCACATTGCTATCAGTTACCGCTGGAGAGGCTGCATCCAGAACTGTCGCTCGATTTGGAGCACAGGTGTGGCCACCGACCATTCACTTGTGTGTGCTGACCTGCGGATGCACATTGGCGGACGCCCACGACGACGTTGTGAGCGCATTAACACCAGCCAACTGACGAAGCCAGCTTTTCTGAATACGTATCAAAGTACGCTGTCATGCGAGTTGGATAAACGCTCACTGGATGCAATTGCAGCTCACAGGTTTCATATTCACCAGACCTTACTAGCAGCAGGAAATTCCTCATGTGGTATGTCTAATAGACAACATGGACATTGGGTCTCTTCACAGTCTCTGGAACTTATAGATGCTCGCCGGCATATTCCGGCTGGAAGCGAACACAATGAAACTCGCAAAGAGCTCCGGGCAATACTTCCTGCTCGCCTGAAGAGAGACCGCGAATCCTGGTGGTCTCATCGTGCATCAGAGATGGAAGCGGCCGCTGCCCTAGGCAACCATCGAAAGTTATTCCGTCTGATACGGGAAACGGGCAGCAGGGGACCTGTTGTTACTGAAACAATATATGACGAGAGTGGACAGCCTATCCACAATTTGCCAAAACGTTTGGAGCGTTGGGCTGAGCACTTTGATAGGCAATTTAATCGGTCGGATTGTTAGATCTCTCGCTGACGACTGATTACCGTGCTCCGTGGGGTGTCCCTTTGGATCCACCCTCTCGCTCAGAAGTCGAACGTGCGATCGCACTGTTGAAGTCAAATAAAGCTGCGGGGCCTGTTGATCTTCCAGACATATTTTAATTGCATCATATTCACCGCTACCATCCTACTGGACGTGTCAAGCACTTGCTTTTATCCCGTGATAAATCATTGTTCATTGTTCCTCCAGCCCTCTTCAAATTCGGGGGACCTGCTCTTTTAGATGATTTACATGAGTTACTAGTCAAAGTGTGGGAGCAGGAGACTGTCCCAACCGACTGGAGCCGCTGCGTCCTTGTCCCAATTTTCAAGGGAGGCTCACGATCGGAATGCGGCAGCCATAGAGGAATCAGTCTGATCTCCATCGCCTCCAAATTGCTTGCCTCTGTCATCCTTCACAGACTGACTGACATTCGTGAAAGCCAGATTCGTGAAGAGCAAGCTGGATTTCGTCGAGGTCGTGTCTGCATTGACCACAACTTCACTTTGCTCCAGTTGTTGGAGCACCGTCACACATATTGGCGGCCCATCGTTGTCGTGTTCCTCGATATCAAAGGCGCATTCTATTCGGTGGATAGACATGCACTTTGGGACTGTCTACTCAGAAAAGGTGTGCCTGAGAAGTATGTAAATATTATCCGAGCATTATTTGCGCGTAGCACGGGCAGAGTGAGTGCTTGCGGCAAGCTGTCGTCACCCTTCAATATCTCCAGCGGTGTGAGACAAGGATGCCCGCTGTCACCTTTCCTCTTCAACTTCGCTGTGGACGAAGTCATGGAAATCGCGTTTACAGGACACGACTTAGAAGGTGTGGGTCTGCTCCCAAGCGAACAAATTTTTCACTTGGAGTATGCTGACGATATTGCCCTAGTCTCTAACAGCTCCGAGACGTGCCAAGCGTCACTGGACAGATTAGCACTGGCTGTCCGTCACTTCGGGCTTTGCTTCGCACCCTCGAAGTGCAAAGCGTTCCTCCAAGATTGGGCTGGACCGCCTCCTGTGTTGTCTCTTGTTGGGGATCAGCTAGAAGTCGTTCGGAAATTCAACTCCCTGAGAAGTTGTACCAGCGCTCATGGGATTGAAGATGATATCACGAACCCTATAGCAAAAGCTCAAATGCTTTTGCTAACCTTCGCCACTTATGGCGGCGGCGCGACGACGCTCTCGCCCTGAAGGGTAGAGTGTACAGTGCAGCGGTACGTTCGATCCTACTGTACGGTTGTGAAACCTGGCCCCTTAGATCAGCGGACATAAAGAGGCTAGTTACGTTCGACCACCGGTGCCTTTACAATTTAGCTCACATCTGGTGGGAACACCGCGTGAGCAACACGGGTGTTTGACACCTTATTTACGGCACAGGAAAAGGAAATGAGCCGCTCAGCACCGTTATTTCACGCATCTGGCTCCGATGGCTGGGCCACAATGAACATGTTTGACTGGATACACTTGTTGATATGGCTAGGAGCCGACCTCAGTGCTGTTCGTGCTGTGAGTTTGTTCGTCCTTTCCCATCCCTTTTAGCCTACCCCTCCAACCACGATCTCATTGTTTAGCGATTTATTATTTTGCATAGAAAATTACTTTTTTGCTGCATAGTTGCCTTCAGATAGGTTACTGGAACGATACCCATCCGTTACCGGTAGCTGAGCTGACTTGTCCGTGTAGCATTTTATTCCCTTATTTTCTTTTAGGTATTGCAGCACAGTAGCTATGTTTCCCACCTCAAGCTAACGTGTATAGTTTGTGTGTGTGTGGTGGCATCTGGTCCTGTGACTGCGATAACACCTTGACCAATATCCCTGTTCTTACAACTATCATTCTTGTTCTCCTGAAATGCGGCTGTCTCGGAGCGGCCGGACATTTTAGGACTTGCTGAGACATGGTTGAACTCCGACATCATACCCCAAGAAGTCGTGTTGTCAGGATACTCTTGTTTTCGATGTGACCGAAAATCAAAGGCTCATGGTGGTGTTCTGTTGTACATAAAATCGTCACTATCTGGCAAACTTATCAGTACCTATCGGAGCGAGGATAGTTTATGCGAGCAATTGTGGTGCACAATCCGTCTCAGGCGCGCAGAACTAATTGTGGGGGTTATCTACCGGAGCCCATTAAACCGTTGCTGCGATTGGATACCACATGTACAGAAGCACATGAGCCGCCCTCAGTTCTTACTGATGGGGGATCTAAATTTACCTAAGATAATTTGGCCAGATGTTCGACTTCTTCCACGTCATGGCAACGTTGAGGCTCAATTCGCTAAAATGACTATTGAAATTGGGGCAACGCAACATGTCATCCAACCAACGCGCGTAACTCCGTACTCGGCATCTTGTCTGGACCTAATGTTTACGAGCTGCGAGCAGAAGCTAAAAGAGATCAGAGTCATCGAACCTCTGGCGAACAGTGACCACTGCTCTATTGTAGCAAGCTTAGAACTGTCGTTACCATATTACAATCAACAGAAGCCGACATTCAACTATTGGAAGACGGACTTCAACGGACTTGTCCAAGCCGCAAGTCAGACTGATTGGACACTACCACATGATGCG